CGCCCCCCACCCCCGTTTCCTGTACGCCATTTCCTTGATCCTATGGCTCCTTCTTCATAATAAACATTCGTGGATCCTCTAGGAGGGATGGTCTGTTGATAATGCTGACTCGGAATAATCTCTGATGATATACTCACCTGATCGGCGATTTTTCATTATCCCTTTGCTCAACAAGTACCGGTATTCGTATCCCCCAGACATTACCGTATTTACGAGGAGAAATTTTGGTATGATATGATGCTGCGCCGCCCCAATGTGTTCGAAGCAGGGGAGGAGGGGGCCAGGTGTGCGTACTCGAGTATAGACAAATTGCCGCAGGCTCTCGATCGCCCAGCACACAGGGGAAAAAATGAGGGTGGGAGGGGGAGGGGGAAAAAAATACCCATCATATTTCAGTAACCATAAATAGCAGTGTTGAGGGACTCTGTTGCAGGAGTCATACGGTACTATTACCACTTGTACCGGTATTTGTATTCAAGTACCGGTACGTACCAGCACCCTGACATTCAATTTGGATTTCTTTTTTCCTGGCCTCCTGGTCTGCCAATTGTGGGGAATTGTGGTGAAGGGAGGAGGGGAAAAGGGGTTTGGGAATCTGCAAGATGTCGCTTTGCTAATGAAGTTTGGCCTAAAAGGAAAACCACCGGAACTTCCACCCACCTGCACCCAAAGTCACACTGAGATCTTTTGGCTCGTTAGCGCAGGAGGTTCAGAGCCCGACAACCGCCACAATGTAAGGAGCTGATTCGGTTTAGTAAGAGTATTTCAGAGCACCAAGAGAGAGTCGTCTAACCTGAGACTTCTTAGATGAGTGCATTGGTCGATCCGGGGTCAATGATGGGGCGCTTTGACAGTCAGACTCAGCATCGTCGGATCTGGGTGATAGTGGTATGATAGGATCCCCTGGCTAGGGGCGACTAACAGCGATAAGGATCTACCGTGCTAACGGGGGTAAAAATAAAAAAGGCGTTGAGAAAAAATGCAGATAAAAACTGAGCGTGCAACTGATACCCGTGCCCTCTCAAGGTGTAATCTTTTTTTTTTTCCCACCCTTGTCCATCAAGGATACCAACTTGCCGGATGCTAATTTTTGCTGGGAGGGAAGAAGAGAAGGGAAAGTAAAGCGCCCAATTAAATTCCGCTCATGGAGGGTTTGATTGTATAATTTATTGAGGCAAACCCTTTCTTCGGAAGTCCTTGATGAAGCTATCCATCAGAAACCAAGACTATCATCCCATCACTCATTATGTTACCATATCGTATGGAATTCCCCTCAGCTCATAGCCTGTTTTCGCGGCCGAGTCCATTTGAAAGGGTTTGCTTGGGGAAACATGGGCCCGGACTCGTTGAGATAAGATCGGTATCGCACCGTTGTGGATGGCTGATGCATGCTTCATGATAGGCCTTGGGGAGTAGGGAGGAGCAGAGGGAGGAAAAGAGGAGGATCGAAAGAGGCAACGAGCAGAGCACCCTGCCGCTGTCTACAGGAGTACGGTAGGGTATCATACAAGGGGGCACATGTCCCATACAAAACCTATGTATCTGAAGCATGGGAGCGCCAGTGCAGCATTTCTCACCCCCCCCCTCTGCTCTCTCTATATTGGATCTCACACACCATACGTACCGCACATACGGTTTTCCACACGCTTACTCGTACTCGAGTACTGTACTCGAGTACTGGTACGCACTCTCACGCACACGAGTGCTACCGGTATTACGGTATAGAAGCAATACGGTACAGATTAACTCGCTCGCCCACGCTCGCCCGCGCATTCGAGTGCTCGAATACAGTAGTAAATCATACCTCACACTATCACAGATGATGCGCGGCTCCAGCGAGGATGGTTTTTCTTTTCCTTTCTTCTCTTTCTTTTTTCTTTTTTTCCTTTTCTTTTTGGAAAAAACAAAAAACGGAAACATATCATGCTGGTTCAATGTACGGTACTATGTGTACTGTGCGATGTGTATTCGTGAAAACGGTGTTTGAGCTGGGCCTGGAGTCTGAGGGATTGTCCATTAAGTTAACCCTCGCTAAGCCCGGTAAGCGAGCACGCAAGAAATACTTGAGCACCATACCGGTACTTGTACCATACCGTACTCGTACTGTATGGGAGTCCAACGATCTCGCGCTTGTGGGAACAAGCTCCGCCCCTGCGGAGGTAGACTAGCAAACGGGGGAACAAGCGGCCTCCGTGATACGAGGAGCGAAACAAAAGAAATACCGGTGATTCGGTGCCCACTAGGATAGAGGGAATATCTGATGAATATACCGGTATAATGCTCCATTAGGCTCTACGGTAGAACGGTAGACTACCCTAATCGCCCAGAAAATGGGTGCAGTGGAAGGGCGAACCCACGATCCCCACCACCCCCCCCCCACCCCAACACGGTAACTTTTTCGAAAAAAAAGGGAAAAAGGGAAAAAAGACCCTTATTGATTGACCTGCAACTTTTGTGAATTGGGGAGAGTGAAAGGGAAAGGAAAGCAGAGAAAAAAACAAATAAACAGCAGCACCATCACTATAGTCCTCCCACTTGAAACGCTGGCTGATTGCTGTCAGTGGTTCTCCCACTCTTTTTCCCCTCCTTCCTTTTCTCCTCCCTTTGGCCTCCTACCGTACTCCCCCGTCTTCTGTATCTTTTTTTTTGCCGTACCGGTGCAGAAGGCAGCTGGGCAGAGTGATAGCACTCGAGAGGTACAACAGCTCCTGCTATCATATCAATCGGTTCCTTTCCCCACACCTCTCCCCTTGAGCACTGTTCTCGTACAGTACTCGTACAGTCGTATCGTATCCCATTTACCGTATTCCCGTCAATTCCGACCGGTACACTGCCCGACCCCGGGGACGGACAATCAGACACAACCATCGAAGGCGCTCTCTGGTGGGGAGAAAGGACAAAAAAAATCGAACAGTAAGGAATAAAAGATAAAAATAAAAAAAATGAACCCTCTTCCCCCTGGCCTATCCCCAGTATAACCGAGCTCCTGCCCTCCTGCCCTCTGCTTGCTGCTGGCTTTCCCTTTTGCCCTCTTTGGCTTCT